CTTGCTTCCAGTTCTTCAAAACCCACAAAAATTGTGTTTTCCTCTTCATTTACCCCTTCTTTATCTACCCTTTTGGTCAATCTCGCCGTCGCCCCAACCGGGCTCCACCAACGATTTACTGTCAGGGCCGCTAGGAGAAAATTCGAGCGGAAGAAAATATCGGAACCATTGGCCATGTCGACCATGGAAAGACCACTCTTACTGCTGCTCTGACTATGGCCTTGGCCTCCTTTGGAGGCTCCACCCCTAAGAAGTATGACGAAATTAGCAATGGCCGAACAATTTGACATGCCACGAGTGAAACTTGGAACCCAAGGACTGGAGGTATATGTTACAATTACTTAATTCAATTTGGGATTTGATTCAATTTGTAGATAATGCAATGTTCTTCAAAGAATTGGGGTTGGGTGTGGTAGGGTAGGGCGGGGCGGGACGGGGCGGGGTGGGGCGAAGATGAAGATTAACAGTATTCCCTTTGTTTTCTTTGATTTTTATTTATTTTGTTTTTACTTTTCTATTGTTATTATTAATTATTCTAATTATTAATATTAAGAAAAAAAATGCGAAGTACCACTTTGCCCTTTTAAATTTGGTCCAAATTGATCAAATTTTGACTTTTCTAGTCAACTAACGGTCAAATGGACGGTTTCCATTCATTTGAACCTCCGGTGCATATTTTTGAAATGTTTGGGACCGTGGATGGTACAAATTAAAGGTTTGGGCAAAGTCTGCTAATAAACGAAACGTTTAGTACCTCAACTGCAATTTTCCCATTGATAAATTACCAATATGCCCCTACACAAAAAATAGATAAAAAATAAAATCATTCTTCTTTCAGAAAGGGCTATTTCGATAACAACCATGCTAGACGAACCGCGCGAGTAACTGCATGGTTGACATACATACACACAAGGGGGAAAATAATTTTAATTCGACGCGGGACCCTCACCTGGTATTATCCTTTGTGTCAACCATTGCGTTCATTTGGCATTTTCCATTTCGATAATCCGCAGCATATGCAGCATCTACAGTCAATAATTACAGCTTGTCTGGGTCCCACATACTTGTTGAAATGCTCAAAATATGTATTATGCATTTGGTCAAAATGGCTCCTAAACATGGACTTAGTCTCTTGTTTGAGATTTTTTTTTTTTTCAAAATTAATTTTCAATCATACATTCTTTCAATAAAATAATTTTTCATGTAAAATTCCAATTTTTTTTACTTTTTGACTATACATTCTTCAAAAAATTACTATCTTAGAATTTATTAACACAAAAGACTCAAACAAGTGCTTAATAGGCTTGGGCGTGGTTTAGTTTTAGTCGGTTCCTACTCCAACACGAAACCAAAACCAAATTAATTCGTTTGAGCCAATTTTAACCCAAACCAACCCACTATAGCTATTAAACCGTATCAATTTGGTTCAGTTCGGACTTTTAATCCAAATTGAATTTTAAAAAATAAAAAATTGTCCGAGTTTTAGGCTCACTTGGATTACAAGAACTAAAATAATCAAATAATTTCATATTACAAAAATTATTGACTAACAAATAAATCAGGTTAATAAAGCCATATCAACAAAAAATTTAAGAATTTTGTTGCTTTTTTATGTATTATGTTGTTCGATTGCCTTAGTAGGGAAAAATGTCAAGTATAATATAATGAGTTTGTGAAATGAAAATTTCAGTGCTATTACTTATTGGCAACATCATGATTGGAGAGAATCGAGATATAGCTATGAGATCACGGTTTATTTTTTGAATTTTATTTTTCTTAAATTAAAAGAAAGGTAAACATGTAATTGAGTTGAGTTGGTTCGATTAACCAATGGTTTGAGACTTCAAACCACGACTGAATTAATCCATCATGATTTTGTTTAAAAGAAACCAAACAAAACCAATTACCTGTGTCAAGCCAACTCGAGTCGATTTGATTTGATTAGTTTAATCGATTTTTTGATTTTTTTGCCCAGGTTGGCTTAATTATAAATAATTGTTATATATACAAATTGAAAATCATTGCATATTCACATATTTTAACCTGATCATTTACCCCATATTACACGTCACATCAACTAAGATAATATGAGTTTGTACATATAACATGATTTGTAATGAGAAAATTGTAAAAAATGTCCATTTTCACATTGTCATTTGTAAAAATGTTTCAAACTATTCGCTTCATTTGCGAATTTGTTCATTTTACTAAAATTTAGACCACAATGCCTTAGGTAGCAATTTCAAAAATCTACTAGAAAGACAAATTTTTTTCATATGAATTAAAAATTGTGTTGACATATAGAATATTGACACATAAAATATAAGCTTGGCACAACTTATACTAAATATTTGAAAAAGTAGTAATTCCGATTCATGCATTAAATTTTAACTTTTCCCTATGTCAACCCATGCATTAAATACTCATGAAGCTTGTGCTCCCAATTTGAAAATCTCGTTCTTGACAAGTGAAATGTCAAGTGTCGAGATGTTCAAAGATCAAATGTTAATCATACAATAAAATATAGAGAAAAATGAAACTAGTGCATATATTTTTTCACAATGCAATAATGCTAAACCATGTTTGGCATCATCTCCCTTTTTTCCTAATGTTTAATTGGTCATTGCCTACTAGATAATGCAAGAAATGGTAATAACTTGCACATCATGTTAGCTTCTTTTGGAAGCAACTTAATTGCGTCGACAATCACGCTGCAGCCAAATAAAAAATATTATTTTTTGCTTTTTCCTTTATTAAGGGTATAATGAATATTTTGGTACCGAATTTAGCTATTTTTGTAATAGTGACAAAATTAGACATTTTTTAATGGCAAATATAGATTTGGACTTTTTGTAAATTTTCCAATTTTTTTGCTTTTGTTTGATCTCATTATTTTCAAAATAAATTTTTTTTTTCTCCTTTTTCCAATTACATATAACTTTAATAAAATACTATTACACGTAAATCTAAAATATTTTCTTATTTTTTAATTACACATTTTCCATTATTCTACTATTTCAAAATGTATTATTCAATAAAAATGGGACTCAAATATTGACAAGTTAGCAAGCTAGTCCCGTGGACAGATTTAAAGATGTTCTTGACTAACCACATTTTGGGTGTGCTCATAAGTCTTAGGACCCATTTCTTTTGTGGTTCAAAATAAACAAATTGTGGATCACACGGAATAAATGTTGTCTGAACTTATTTGTGGATGGCTTCGAACTTTGAAGTGAGCCCAAAAAAATCAAGTTGTTTGGGTCAATCCACCTACCGACACTCTTAAATATAGTTACTCGAATTGAATCGAACCAAAAGATCCGATTGGAAACTTTATGAATCGGACCCCAAACCGGTTCGGGTGACAATATAAGACCATTTGACAATTAACCCGGTTAAGAATCGGTCATATTAGTTAGAAATCAAACAAAATCGAATAAATTCAGAGGAATTTTACGTTCGAACTAATTCTAATCGAATATATTTTTTTTTCCAGTTATTTATAAAGCTGCTCTAAAAGTGTCTAGAATGGACCACCAAGTTCTATTGCTGGAGCCACTTAGGTACTCTGTCTAGGGTTGGCAATGGATCGGTTTGGGGTTGGTTCAATCAAAACCATTACCGAACCACCAATTTTTTGGTTGTACCATAACCATGTAAGTCGATTCGGTTCGTAGCTCGAGTTGGCTCAGTTCAGGCGATTAATAACCACGAACAGAGGCAAATCCAGATTTTCGACCCAACTGGGGCGATCATTAATCGTTTACCGTCAACGACGGCATAGTAATGTTATTTATTAATATCAAATTAAATAATATTAAAAATTATTCTATCTGTATGTAAATACACTAAAACGTAAAAATCGTATATTTATATCAAATTATAGTATAATACAATTCGAAATAATATAAAATAAATGATACATAAGACTTCTACGTGTTATCAATGCTTAATA